TACTATCTTTAGGTGAGAAGAGCACAAAATAAGAGACAAGCAAGGAAACAGTGCGACAAATTATTGGGCCGTGGAGTTCTACTGATATCTCTTGTCATTAATATCTATGCAAAATAAAAGTAGGATAAATTTTGGCGAGTGAATTGTCAGCAGTTTGGGGTGGGGTATCTTTTCAACACTTTTTGCATTGAGATATCCTTTGTACAGATGTCTCTTGGCTACATAAACGTATTTTAAAAAGCAACAATGAGAATCGGTTATTGCTTCATCTGTTCACTGTCTCAAACCAATATGCAGGTTGCAAATAACACATTCAGAGGAGCGTTACATGTTGCATTTGTTGCACTGACTATTGTTCGTTCCTGTTTATTCAGTAGGGTAAAATGTCAAGCTGCACAGGATGACAGTTTAGATGGTCTGAATGATGGTTCATTTCCTCTGGCTTATTTTCTGATCACGTCTATTTTAACATTTCCAACATACATTTCCCACTGTTGCAGCACACATGCTGAAATAACTGTTCTGATAATCGGACCCTGGCTTCTGGACTCAACCCATACTCACCAAAGGCCTAATATTACCTTATACATTTACTCCAATATCCAACAGTATTCTTTGGCACAAATCACATTCAGCTGGGCTCTTTGCGATGTTAATCATACAACATTCCTTCCCCAAAATACCTACTCCCACAGGTTCTCCCCACGGGGGATGTTATGTCACGTTTTTGAATAAATAAGTCCATTCTCCAAATTGTTTAATTTAAGAGGGAAAAATTAAGTGGTATAAATCAGATCCACAATTTGGGTCTTGTGGTTCACAATGAAAAATAAACCACCTCATCAGCCAGATCTCATAACTCACAAGGGCATCAGGCATGTGAATTGGGCAGTGTTAAGTTAGTTTTTATAAAGCGCAGTGCCCTGTTGGGGAGCCTATATTTACAATACGCCTTCCCCTCTTCTTATGAATACAATATTCGGGTCTAATTTGCAACATCTGCAAATAGGATGTGTTAATTGTTACTTGTGAAATTCTTGGCCAGCGAGTCACTTGTCAGCAAAATCTGGATAAAAGCCCAGGAGCAAAAAGGCCATTTCTCATTTATGTTTTGCTTATTGGCTTCTTTTTCTGTATTTTGACAGCTTGGAACCTATGGGTCTTGAATTTCACAAATGCAACAAATTCTGGTTTGCATATATTGCAAATGAGACTGCATGATATGCATATAATAAACTAGGAATACAATTTACTCAGGTTAAGACCCGACAATTGCTGATAGATAGTGCAGTGGAAGAAGTAATGGTGTAAATACTTTCTCCGTTAGGGGACGGCGACAGAGAGGGACGCATGCCAACTACATCACGTCGCAATGGAACAAGCATGAAAAATCGGACTTGAGACTTTAATGGGAAAATCCTGGGAATGAATGCAATGGGAATGCAATAAGTGAGAAGACAGCTGACAAATTTACAGCAGTTTCGTTAGCAGTCTGCAATCAGCAAAGAGTTAATCACACAGCACAGTGCAGAGTGTTCCACCTGGTGGACATGAACGATGAAATTAAGATGGAGTGGGTGGGAGGGCTGAAATCCTTTTTCAGTGATATGCTAACTGCCTTCACACCGTATGTGAGAAGACAGTAGCTTCAAAAGTTCAAAGTGATCAAACTATACATTTGTCATTTTATGAATGATCAGTTGAGTTTCACCAGTTGAAACATGCACCAACAGATTTGATTCCCTGTTGAAGAGTAGAGCCTGTGAAAACATGGGCCCAAAGCAGCTTGCTCAAGTCATCCTATATGATTGCTACCAGAGCATACCATGGATGAAGATTTTCCTTTTGACGGTGAAACAAACTTAGGGATACAGGGTTAAATTTTACAAATATCTAACTTACGTCAGGAGCTCAGTCTTACATTCACTTCACGGGTATTTGTAGGACATCGCTATGTGCAAATTGGTAGCTGTGTTCACCTACAAAATACACAGTCACTAATTCATAATAAATCCAGTGTTGTCCTCCCAGTGTAAAAAAGCTATATCAAATGTAAGGATTATTAAGGTTCTTATAATTGCCCCTGCATCTCCACACTGTTAGGTTTCTCTGTTGGGAATCAGTGAAGATGGATCAAATAGTATGTCAGCTGATGAATCACTGATCTGAATAAGATAATGAAAGAGAAACAAAACTTTGAAAAAGTTAGCAAAAAATTAGTTTGAAATAAGTGCTGATTCTGACTGCAACATAATGCCCTGTGTAATAGAATGTGGTAGAATTGTGAGGCAGAGGCTGACTGAAATTCTTTCATCCATGATGAAAGGCCCCTCTGAGTGAATGAAACTCACACATGACTAAGCAAGAAGTTGCCTCATTAATCTCTCTCTGTTTACACTACTACTGTCAAAATACTAACAGAAATGGTATTTTGACAGAAACAAAGTTAGCCACTCAATTCATAAATGAATCCATTTATTCAAAGTTGGCTCGAAATAAACATTAACCTTTGCACACTTCCAGGTTTACTCTCCCTAAATACCCAATATCAGTCACAGAAACATTCACAAAATATCAACATGAAATAATAATTACTTCAGCATTTTTTGCCCTGCTAACAATCCAATACAGCAGAGTTATTGCTTGAGTTAAGGTAAGGTGGAGCATACAAAGCAAACTAATGCAGAGAGTTGACATTACTATTATATTACAATTAAAATTAGGAGGAGATAATAATAATAATAATAATCCTTGCATTTGATATAGCGCTTTTCACGTCGGGAGGACGTCCCAAAGCGCTTCACAGAACACACTGTAAAGTGAATTGACTGTATATATTTGTGGGCGAACGCGGCAGCCAATTGCGCACAACAATGTCCCCCAAACAGTCGTAGATTGAAAATGACCAATTTATTATTGTTTTTGTTTTTTGGAGGGATTATTATTAGGCTCTGTGTGGAGTAAGGAAACTTGCCCAAGGTTTCGCCCTGTCTGGAATTGAACTCAGGTCTCTCGCTTGCAAAGCAAGTGCTCTAACCACTGAGCTACAGGACTCCATATAGAGATGGGTCTTTCTTCCTGCTATTCCCTGCCCTATGACTTCCTGATTTTGGATGTGCCACCAGAAGAGGCACTGAGTGAAGGGCAAATATTTGTCATCAGAAGACAATTTACTCTGTAGGGAAAATAGGAAGGAGTTAGCTGTCCAGCGATTTAATTGACAAATAATTGGTGCAACCTGGGAAAATAATCACTGCTCACCTATTAGCAATGTTGAATTAGCGGCAAAAATATTTCCAATCTCCAAAGCTATGAAAATGCATAGTTTCATCTTTAATAATTCATAGCAAACAAAATAGCCCCTGGAAATTTGTATTATCTTTTTATTGCAGCTCAAAATCATCATCCCAAGTTCATATAAAAAACATAAGAAATAATACCACGATCCTTTCAGACGAGAATGATATACTGAAGCAAATTTATTCTTCAAATCTTTAAGTAATCACTCTTCTTTAAAGTAGTAGTTAAAAAGAAAGAGATCTGTGCTGTGTGTATATTGTCATAGTGAAGAATATGGGAGATGAAGCAACTCATTAACCTCGTGAGTAATGGATATCTTCTGAAGCTTTCAAATGCCACACGATTGCTCAGCTATGGGTCACTGAAGCCACCGACTGCAAATTTCTAATTAAAAAAACACAGAACCACTGGCACTTTCTTAGTTTGCAGCTTTTTTTTAATCTATGTCAATTTTTCTTCCCTGCCTCCTCTCCTGATGGCATTTTCACTTCTTTATTCCCTTCCACTGGGGTAGGATTATGAAGGTGCAGAACACATTGTCTACGTTACCATTATGCATGTTTGAACCTGATTGATGAATGTTCGATACACCACAGCCAAACCTGATTGTGTCCTCAGCTGACATCCTCCTGCATGCACTCCCCTAGCAGTGGAGTATGTCAATAGGAATCCGGAGCAGAAAATCTGGCCAAATTTCCCTCCTTGCAACCCATGACCATGGAAGTCAATTGTAGCAGATCAGCAGCTACTCTGAGCTCAGATAACTCAGCAAAGACCAGGATTCTAACCTGCGATCTTTCACTCTTTGTGACGCAGCACTTCACTAAGCGGGAATTTCAAGCCTTTTTAAAATATAAAAACGTTTTGTATTTATTTTGAAATCACTGAAACGATTAAACTGTTTGATAGTGACTTGGTGCTGGATATTAGCTCAGCAACTAGTTGTGTATACTACTATCTGATCAACTGGGAATCTTTAAAATGGAGAAAATGGATCATTCAATCTTTCACTAAAGGAACACAAAATACCTTTTGAAGTGCTGTGTTACAGGAAGGAATCCATGCCAGAATCTTTGAGGAGAGGTTTCTAATCTACAATTGATATAAAACAAATCATTGTGCTCCACTGAATGAAGAACATGGAAAAAACTGCTACATAAAAAATAGTAATGAAGTACTACAGCCGGAATTTCAGGCAAAATACTGGTGTGAAAAAGGTGACATATGGGGCAAAATCTTGCTCTATTGACTAAGCCAAGACTAGAATGTGAGATCCAACCAAAATCCGATCAAATCAACCCATGGTACAGTCCATCTATCTACAAGCCAAGTGCCTGATCACCATCTAAAGACCCCTGTTGGAAAGTGTGTCAATGTCAGCTGGGGTTGCCCTTCCACCACTCACCCCCACTAAATGATAAAATGTGCCGTCAGCATTCACGGTTAAAGATCACAGATGAACAATGGCCACTTGGAAAGATACTGAAGCCTGTCCCCGCTGAAATGAAATCGGAATCAAAATGCTGACAAGCAATGGAGGGTTAAATTGGAGGGGAAATATTGGCACAAATAAAACAAAGTGCAACATGGAACCCAAACAATGCAAGGAAACAAATATTGGGGGAGGTAGAAAGTAATACAGAAATAAGGTAGTACTTATCCTTCAAACTAAGCAAGCTGTTTGTGAAAAGAACACTCACTTGATTGGAATCCGCAGGCTAATGTTGGGGCTGGAAACAGCAGTAACAACCTGAAGGATCTGCTCAAGGGCAGTTAGACCTCCGCCGACCTGGAATCCGATCTTATCTGCATTGTTCTGCAAGGAAAGAACAGGAAACCCAGTCAGAAGCTCTAAATAGTAACGTGTCCAATTCCATTCATAGAGCAAGCATTTTCTTCTCTTTCAAACACAAGTGAACTGGGAAATCTGCTGAAATAAGAAGCAACGTACGTTTTACAAAATTAGAACAAGACTCTCTGACCTGACTACGCTCAATCAGTTAACCCCTTATTGTTTTTAAAAAGTAACATTAACCATTATTTAGGGGTAGTAATTTAATTAAAATTTATTGCAATTTTTTGTGGAAGACTTCAAGAGAAAGCGCAGCATGATCAAACACCCTGCAGTATTGAAGACAATTCTTCTCAATGATTAAGAGTCGATTCATATTCAACACCAAATTGCACTTGGGTTATTATGTCCTTAAGGAGACAAAACGGAAATATAATGCACATGAATGCCACATAGTGACCTTTCCTGCAAAAAAGCGGAACTACTATTATTAAATTAAATTTCAACAACCTTCCCGCTACTATTTTCTTATGGATGGGGCAGGCTACTTAATATTATACAGGTATTGCTAAGATGATATTGTGCTTTTCAATGATGAAATGCGATAAACATGATCTTATTATTTAAAAAGGAAGGATACACAAAAGACTATATATATTTAATTACAACTCACTTTGTTAAAAGGCAGAGCAATTTGCTACCTGGCTGTCGTGTTAAAATCTCTGTGATGGATTTTCCTGATAAGTTTTGCATCTATCAGAAATAGATGACCCAGTGTTACTCACTTGCCAATTCTACAATCCTGCAGAGTTCTCTTTTAATCTCTACACTTGCTTGAGGCATGTTCATTTTATGTCTGTGTCCCCTGCTTTCACATTAGCCATCAACATGAAATGGCATGCAAACATCTATATCATCTATTCCATTCAGAATTTTTTAAATCTGGATCATAACGCCCCACCTTCTATCTTCTTTTCCCTAATGAACAAAGTTCAGCATTGTGAGTCTCTACTTAGAACATGAGACCTTAAGTCTCAGAATGATCTTTGTTGCTCTTCTCTGAACTCTTAACACATCAATGTTTGAAAAGTGTCCAAAACTGCATCACCAATAGGCGTTCTTGCTTCTGATCACTATTCAGAGCTCTGCTGGAGGGAGGAATGTAGATGCCCATTGAGGAAAGGATCATTTGGGCTTAGCTATGATGCCACCAAATACGCCTCCAAAAGTCACTGTCAAGGCTTGCAAGTCAATTAAAGCCACTTGGATGAGGTAGTGGAAGATGCCTGGCACCCAAGATACTGCCCACAAAAACAATTACTACATTTGATAGTAATTACTTCAAAGTCATTTAGAACGTTTCAACATGAGAAAATAATAAAAAATGCAACTCCTTTCTTTCTTTGAACTGTACTCTAACAGTTGCAAACAAGAGTCAAAATGCCTCCAGGAGAGGAGGGGAGAAAAAATGGAGGAAAGAAACCAATGTCTCCTGTTTTTAAAGAGGGTCGGTTTTACTGAACTAAAGAACAGAAAGGGTGCCCTGGTCTCAGTTTCATATCAACCTGATATTCCTTTTGGCACACGGTGGCCTTTGTAATAAGATGAAAAGTATTTTGTTCTGTGTTGATTTATTCTTCTTCCTTACTACAATGTCATTATCATTATCATTTTGGATGTCATTTTTGACGAGTGTATTGAGCAAAAGACAAAACTGTTTAGGTGTTACCACGTACAATGGAAACTCAATCCTCTGCGATATTTAACTTTAAAAGGAAATGAATAGCAGTCAAAGCTAGTGTAATTCATTATCATGAATTTGAATTTTTTAAATAAATTACTTTGATGCTAGTGAATGCAGGGTATAGTAAGAACTGATCTTTTAGTGGTCCTCTACCTAAAAGACACTGCAAATTATACCTCCCCATCATGGAAATTCAATATAAATTACAACAATGCAAACAATCGGCAATTGTCTGACCAATTCTCTCATCTAATATTATTGTAAGCACTCCTGTCTTTGTCTGTGTTAATTAGAAAAAATATACTTTCAGAAGCTTGACCCAACAGAAATCTTTAGTTGAGTAACCATTGGACAATAACCATTCAAACTAATGACAATCCTCTCTCAAATCGATGACACTTGGCTGAATTATACTGAGTACATTTTATAGGGTGTGTAGTTGAGGTGGAGTGTGCTCTAAAAGCCCAGTTGTGCAGAAAACAATTTTATAGCTGGTCATTAAAAACAAGCCTAAATAATCCATTGTAGCCCATCATTGACAAAACAAACAACTCTTAAGTGAGCAACAAAAACAGGGCCAGCCCTGCCCAGCTGCGATGCAGAGTGCTTCAGTTCCCTCAGGAGGACAGGCCACCAGCTGCCACCAGTTGGGGAATATATGGCAGACAGTGAAAGCACAATATTCTGTGTTGAGGTTCACAGCAATGTATCTAGAAGAATGGACAGGCATATTAAGCCATTATACAATGAATAAATACTTTGAAGCTGTATAACGTTACCAGGAAGTCAAGCTTCATCCCAAATTCCAAATATCTTACATCACATCATACTTAACAGCGAGGAAAAACATACTTAAATAACCCCCAAAATAATAATATATAATAATAATCCTTGCATTTGATATAGCAGTTTTCAGGTCTTTGAGACGTCTCAAAGCATTTCACGGAATATACTGTAAAGTGAATTGACTGTATATTTATGGGCAAAACGCGGCAGCCAATTGCGCTCAGCAGTGTCCACAAACAGTCGTGGATTGAAGTGACCAATTTATTATTGATTTTTTTCTTGAGGGATTATTATCAGGGGTGTGGAGTAAGGAAAGTAGCCCAAGGTTTAGCTCTGCCAGGAATCGAACCCAAGTCCCTCGCTTAAAAGACGAGTGCTCTAACCAGAGCTACAGGATTCCTGTAAAAAGAACATAGGATAAATGTACTCTTCATCTTTTTTTCCCCCAACTCATCTAAAATGAAGTTGTACTTATCCTGTGAAGTGCATTAAGAAGTCCTCCTGATGTGAAAGGCACTATATGAAATGCAAGGATTATAACCTGTAAAAATACAACTTTAAAAAATATAAATGAATACCACTGAAAAAAGTATAGTCCAGCAGGGCATCTATTTGCAACCTGGCTGGGTGCAGATATGGACATTCCAGTTCAGCTGTAATCTGACCCCAAGTTTCATTAAAGGCTCAGTGTTTTATTGATACCCTGTTTTCATTGTGGATTACTTGGTAGAATGGTAAATTGACTCGTTTAAGAAATAGTTTCATGCTATAATGGAAAGATAGTAGGGTGGGTTTTCTGAAAGGAAGAAACCAAACCAAAGGAAGAATATTGGAGACAGGGTATCAAGCCTTTAATGCTGCGTCACATAAGGTATACAAAGTTTTATAATAATTGGAATGTAATAAGCAAACATTTCCACATACAATCTTTCTGACAGATGGAGGCTTTTGATTAGCTAATCTGTAGTTTCAATTTCATTTGTTGCTCCTCACGCTACTCACAAAGCCACAACTTCAAAGCTGCTTGATTTTAACCATTTGGGTTAGTTGTTTGGCATCTTTAAATAAATTTAACTTAATCCTATTAAGAGAGCATGAAAAAAATTAAGGAAGTGAAATAGGGAATGTTTCCAAACTGCTGTCTGAAAAATCAGGAATCAGTACTTCATGCTTCATTTTTAAAATTTGGGACGGTACAGGGAATGTGACTTGCATCTCAGATGGAAGATAGGTCATTAGATAACTCACTGGAAGGTTTGTCAGATCCTACAAAGGATGTCATCACTCAGTTCAAATTTACAATTTTCTCGAAATTTTAATCCCTGCATTTGATACAGTGTCTATAGTGTCAAAATGTCTCAAGCTTCACATATAATAGCTATCAAATGAAGTGATTGTGTACTTGTGGGCAAACGTAGCAGCTAATTCGCACACAGTAATGTTCCTTAAGCAGCCAGAACACCACAGAAAAATGTGAAAATATTTTGTTCCCTGGTCTCTCGGATAAAGGCATCCAATCGTCCTGCTCCCAGTAACCCTTGGAGATGCATGAGAGTGCCATACAGGAATAATAATGTTCCTTCAAATTTTTTCTCCTTCATGGGGAAAAGACCTAGACCTGGTCTCTGCTTGGAATCTTGCACAACGATATGCCTTAGATCAGAATCTCGCTTGATCAGAAGTGGGATAGTCCACCATTGTGGGGCGTGCCTTCAGCCTCTCTGTCCCCACACTCTGGAACTCCATCCCACTCTCGCCTCCTCCCTTGCCTCCTTCAAGACCCTCCTCCTCTTTGACTGTGCCTTCGGTCACTCTCCTACCCCTACCCTCCTTGCCCTGCGCCCCTCGTGATTGCAACCACCAGATCGGGAGCAGATCCTTGATTGTGCAGCGCTTTGGGACATCCTCCTTATGTGAAAGGCGCTATACAAATGTAACTTGTTTGTTGTTGTAGTTGAAATACCCACCCATCAACACACACACACACACACACAGATCACCTTGTGAAATAGAAAATCCAATGTCAGTGTTTGCATTCCTGCTAATATGTAAGAGCGTACTTTTTCTAAGGATCACTTTTCTAAGAAGAGATATCACAATAAAGGGTGGACTCTTCCGTTCTTCAAGTTCCAGGTGAATAAAACAACACTGACCCTTAAATCACCAGAAAACAGCTTCAAATGTTATTCTGGAGTACTTACTTTGGTTTGTTAGTTGATGTTGAATGCTACAACAAAAAGGATTTACATCTTTGCCCACTTTGAAGACTGGGTATTTCGTGGTTGTATTTATACCAGATAGCTACTTGATGAAAAAATATGATAGAATGAGTTTAGCCCTGTTGGGCAATAAGGCACTGGAGTGCAGTTAGTGAGATATTGTTTTAAATCCTAAAGCTGGCTTTATTAGTTTGCTGAATTATATAATTTAAGAAAATATAACTTGGTGCTTTTTCAAAGGCTCTTTTGTCAATGTAACTAAATCACCTTAAGAG